TCCTTCCTTCCTTCCTTCCTTCCTTCCTTCCTTCCTTCCTTCCTTCCTTCCTTTCTTCCTTCCTTCCTTCCTTCCTTCCTTCCTTCCCTCCCTCAAAAGAATTGACTTTTAAAATGGCCAATATTTTATGAAAAAGTGTTTACACAGTAATAGTGGAAGGGAATATTGCTACTAATGATGTTATCTATTTTGATGAAAAAAATAGTGAAGCTCAGAGAGCACCATGATTCCACAGTAATAATGTTCATGACTTGCTTACCTAGTCAACTAACATTCCCACCAATATGCCAGTCATGTTTTTCAAATGTCTGATCATTCTTTTCACATTCTCTCCTCCTTCAACTTTCTGGAACAATGAGCCTCATAGTGATCCCAGTTTTGCTCTCTGTCTTTTTGCCTCCTACTCACTAGATAATTCACACATGTTAAACACTACACCCAATGACATTTGGATGGCCTGTCAGCATTCACCAACACTTGAGAATTGTTCTCAAAAACATGCTCCACTCTCATTTGATTTTCAGAGGCTGTTGAGGTTACATAAGAATGTGGTGTAGTCTTGCATGATCTCGGGAAGTCACACTAGAGGGCTATTGTAAGGACCCACTTCAATCCACATCTTAAGAAAGCAGAACTCTTGGAAACGGTTTCTTCCAACAGGGACTTTTATTAAGAGAAATAGATAGCAGGCATGATAGACAGGATCTGAGGGATTCCTTACAAATCAATGTTTTAAAGTGTCCCTAAGCAGCCCCCCACCCCGCAGTTCTTCAGGGCAACTCAAACCGGCATATTTTTAAGTGTTAACTCCAGGAAAGATAACATCAATCCAGCTCTGTTGGCATGATCATTCAACATCTCCTCACATAGAACCCAGATGCTGTATCTTTTCCCCCACTTTCTCTCGCTGGCCAGTAAGAAGGAAAAGTTCAGAGGGGCATAGGATGAAAGGCAAATGGTTACATTGTTATGGTTAGCAGACCCAAAGTGAATCAACAAAAGGTTACTTTGTAGTGAATAGAGGAAGTGAAAGTAATAAAAAACCCATGCATACCCCCCTCCCCCTTAGTAGTATGACAGGATCCAGGAGAGAGTAAGAATTGGTTTTATATCAGAGATGATAGATAGAAATGAAATATAACTGGATTCTGACATCCTGACCCCCTTAAAAATAAGAGAGATCCACCTGTAAAGAAAACAAAACAGGTATAAAAGTTAGTCTGGCTTGTTAGGATACTCTGTATGAAACTTCTTTAATAGCTTTGGGGCTCTGACATGACGTTTATGGACCCACTTGTTTTGTGAGGAGGGGAGGTGTTTCCATGCTACTAGGTATTAAGTTGTCCCATGATATCTCCTAGAGTCTAGGATTTCCTTTATCTCGAAGTGTTGTTCTCCTTCCACTATGATTGGAGGTGGTGGTGGGGATTTTTGGCCATAAGGTTGACTGTTGTTCTCTTTTCAGCAAACTGCAGTGAAAAATAGGGTGTATTTTCCTGAGATTTTGGGGTAATTCTAATTCTACTGTTACTGGGTTTATGATTCTTTTAATTGGAAAAGGTCCTATATATCTTGGTCCAAGTTTTTACAGGGTTGTAGGGATTTTAGGTATTTTGTAGAAAAATATACATTTCTCTTATAATGAATGGTGTGGGTTCAACTCTTTTTTATCTGCTTGTGCTTTGTATGCTTGCCTAGCTTCATCTAAGGCTTTTCTAACTATTGGCCTGGTGTTTTGTAATTGTTCTATCCATTCTTTCAGTGATGGGATTGCCGGTTCGTTTGGGATTAGTTCTGGCATGGGGTTGAAACTTTGACCAGTAGCTATTTGAAAAGGAGTGTAACCTGTGCTGGAGTGAACTGCATTATTGTAGGCAACTTCTGCGAAAGGGAGTAGGTGCATCCAATTTGTTTGCTGGAAATTAATAAAGCATCTTAAGTATTGCTCAAGTACTGAATTAGATTTCTCTGCTTGACTGTTCCCTTGAGGATGATGACTAGATGTCAGTCCCTGAGTGGTCCCTAAAAGGGATAAAAATTCCTTCCAAAATGCAGACGTAAATTGCACTCCCCTATCAGATATGATGTGTTGGGGTGCCCCATGCAATCTGTAAATATGCTGCACAAAAAGTTTTGCTAAGGCTTTTGCGGTGGGAATCTTTTGGCAAGGGATAAAGTGCATCTGTTTGGAAAACAAGTCCGTGACCATCCAGATGACAGTATTCCCGTTTTTTTCTGGTAATTCCACTATAAAATCCATGTCTATTTCTGTCCAGGGGGCTGAGGGAGTCGCCACTGGTTGTAACAGTCCGGGCGATTTCACTTGCAACCTCTTTGCAGTTGCACACTTTGGGTAGCTGACCATGTAATTTTCTATGTCCTTTTTCATGGATGGCTACCAAAATTGCATTTTAATTAAGTGTAATGTTTTTACAAATCCAAAATGCCCTGCTGATTTTGTGTCATGGCAAAGCTGCATGAATGTGCCCCTCTGGGTGCTTGGTGTATATAACTTTTCCCCCACCCAAGGCAATCCATCTTTAATTGTGAACATGTATCTATTTTTCTGGAACCATTCATCTGTTTCCAAAGTTTTCCGGAATTTGATTCCAGCTGACTACCCAGCTGTGGTTTTAATTTAGCCTGGGCTCTGGTAGTTACTGGCGCTGCCAGTTGTGGTTCTGCCATAAGTGGTTTAGAATAGGTGGCTCGCGTGCTGTTACATTCTTCCCCCCCCCCAGAAAGTGCTTGAGCGTAAAGTGGAATTGGTGAAAATGCTGAGACCAGCAGGCTTGCTTGGGGTTGAGCTTCCTGGGTGTTTTCAAGGCTTCCAGGTTTTTGTGGTCTGTCCACACCTGAAAAGGGATTTTATTCCCTTCAAGGAACTGGCACCAA